GTAAGACAAGAAGCCGTGGAAAGAAAATTATCAGATAGCCGAAAACTTTTTGAAACGCTGTAGGTTGCCCCCAAAATGGGGGCAACCTACAGCGTTTCAAAAAGTTTTCCTGTGAGACAAGAAGGCGTGGAAAAAAGAAATTGCCAGATGGCCAAAAAGTTGCCTTGACCCAAAATGGAGACAACCTACAGAGTTTCAAAAAGTTTTCCCGTGAGACAAAAAGTAAAAAAAATTGGCAAATGGCCAAAAACTTGGCTTGACCGAAAATGGGGGCAACCTACAGGGTTTCAAAAAGTTTTCCCGTAAGACCAGAAGCCGTGGAAAGAAAAAAAAATTGCCAGATGGCCAAAAAAGTTGCCTTGACCCAAAACGGAGACAACCTACAGCGATTCGAAACGTTTTCCAGTGAGACAAGAAGCCGCAAATAAAAAAACTTGCCAGATGGCCAAACAGTTGCCTTTACGGAAAATGGGGTCAACCTACAGCGTTTCAAAAAGTTTTCCCGTGAGATAAGAAAAAGTAAATAAAAAATTGCTAAATGGCCAAAAACTTGGCTTGACCGAAAATGGAGACAACCTACAGCGTTTCAAAAAGTTTTCCCGTACGACAAGAAGCCGTGGAAAGAAAAAAAATTGCCAGATGGCCAAAAAGTTGCCTTGACCCAAAATCTTACCTTTTTACATACGCTGAGAGGTGGGGGGAACAAACTTGACGTCCCCCCCGGGACCTAAAACCGTAAGTCCCGCTGCCGTATCCGAAGCCCTTTCCCGGTGCTTAGAGCTCCGTTAACAATTCGATTCGCTGGGTAGCGCCCAAGCGAACCGTACCGCTTAACGAAAACTTCATCGCCTCGTCGCCGCCATCGTGACCAAGCAAAAAAACAAAAAAGGGACCAGACGCCATTTTTAATTCTTGGCTGACACATTCCAAAAGGAGGCGTCCGCGGTGGTTTCCGTAAATCGGGCGTCGCTTATGATTAAAAAAAAAGCACAAATTGAAGATTAAAGCACCTCCCCTTTTTTTTGGGGGGGGGAGCCGGATTTTAGCCCCAGAAGCGTTTCTTTTATTTTGCCCGG